AATGATTTTAAATATATAAAATAAAAAGATTACATCAGACAATATTCAAAAAGGAATGTAATCCTATGTGGCACAAAAGTCAAAGGACTTTTTCTATAAATTCTATCGTACAAAACTGAAGGGTTGTCACAAACTCTCTTCTGCAATGCTCCTATTATATGCATGGAAAGTTGATCTCAGCACACCAAGAGAACTTAACGCACCCACCCATATGGTGCTAGATACATCTTTTGAGACTATTGCATCCTGTAATCTGTCAAGTATTGAACACAAGACTTCAGCGTGCAGATTGAACATAGGAAATAGGTGCCCATTAAATTTGAAAAGATCATAACCAGTTTTCAGACAGTGTTATACCTTCTGATAATAATCCATGCTTTATTTGCAGCTGCAGAGGAAGATTCCAGATCACGATAAGAACATCATTTTAAACAGAGGCCTGGATTTGTATGAAAAAGGCTTTGCATATGATGATGAGCCACTCTATCAATGCCATCAATACAAGAAGTGATGACCTACTCTGACCTATGAAAGTAACAAAAATGATGATACACAGGGTCAAAGGGCATAATTTTTATGAACTGAAGTGAAATGTATATCAATACAAGAAGTTTTACATAAATTATCACATTTTGCAGGGTCACACATGAAAATTCCAAGTTAATAAACAGGGTTCAAGACTATTATGGAAAAAAGCAGTGTAACTGACTGGAACAAGAGTGGTCAGATAAGAGAAGAAACAAAAAGGAGCAAAATAAATAAAAGAATACCATAAATGCAAACCTGTTCCACATTACTCGTTAGACCTCCACCCAATGATGAAAACTTTCCAATATCTTCTAACCCACGCTGATCAATGGATTTCATACGAACAACAGTCATAGAGTTCACCCTAATTTGGGATATAAGTATGACAATCTGCAAAAACAGGAGAATGGAACCTTATATAATAGGTGACAATCAAGGCATGAAATCTAAATTGCTATTGAGATATAGATCGTCCAATTATATACAGATGTCAGAAAATAGGTTAACATCCATTGCAATCTCTCACCTGTTAACATAATTTGATTATAACGATGAATATATTTAAGATTTTCATCCTTGCTACACAAGTTGACTTTGAAAGTGACTCTATTATGAGAAAATTGTAACACATACGAACAACAGTCATAGAGTTCACCCTAATTTGGGATATAAGTATGACAATCTGCAAAAACAGGAGAATGGAACCTTATATAATAGGTGACAATCAAGGCATGAAATCTAAATTGCTATTGAGATATAGATCGTCCAATTATATACAGATGTCAGAAAATAGGTTAACATCCATTGCAATCTCTCACCTGTTAACATAATTTGATTATAACGATGAATATATTTAAGATTTTCATCCTTGCTACACAAGTTGACTTTCAAAGTGACTCTATTATGAGAAAATTGTAACGAAGTATCACACTGACTCTCTAACAAAATAGGACACACATGAAACTTTGTATAAGTAGATGAGAGAATGACCACTTAGTTGAAAAACATGATTTTTATATGTCAATATATAGCATTGTCCTACAAAAATGATAATCTATGGATTTGCACATATGGGCGCGGTAGTAACCACCCTGCAAGGGCAGATCCAGGAAGTCATTTCATCATTGCTTAACCCTCTTGTTTCTTAGATATAATATTCACCAAAGGTGTAACCCTGACTCTGCATGTGTGCATGCAGGAGAGAGAGAGAGAGAGAGAGTAAACCTGTGAAATAGAGAACCCATTTATTGGTAATTCAAAATCATCGGAATATTAAAGACAATATGATAATACAGCCGAATATATATGTAATTCCAATTTTCTTTCTGGAGGCGTTTTTGAGTAATGGTGAGAAAGATCCTACAAGAAAAACAAGAAACATATACAGGTCATTAGCTACAAGACATCTATTTATGAAATAGTGAGACAGTCAACTGAAATGAAAATTAGTAAAGTAGAAAATATAGTTACTATATGTACCAAAATTTCTCTGAGATTAAAAATATCTGTGGAACCTCTTCTTTTGATTATAGACTTTACTAGCACACGACCAGCCAAAACTATCTCAGAAGGCAATACTGCTGGCCAGTGTACACCTTTACATTCATGTTTATGTTCAGGAATGTGCTCAGTATCTGTTTCAGAATCAACATTTAAAGTGGTCTCTGCTATGTACTTTTCAAGATCAGCTGATAAATTTTCATGAATCCTTTGATTGTTTGGGTAATCCCAGGACATTTTTCCTCCTGCTCGTATACGGCATTTCTCGGAGCAATACAATGGTATTGAACATGATGTACATGGGACTTTATCTGCTGGTAGCTCATTTAAGCAGTAGTGGCAATGAGTTTCCCGACAAGGCTTTAATATTATCTGCAAAGCACAGGGACAATTTATTTTAGAATCCTCAGAAGAACTGCATATATTTCCAATGGCAATAAGAGCCTACTCTGTTGGTAAAAAAGATGCACAAATGATACTTGAACACAACTTGAGCTTCGAAGATAATAAGTTTAAATAAATAATTCCTCTTCAGCAACTTGTGAAGTATTAATCAACACTCACTGAAAGACAAAATGAAGATGGTACACCATTCTGCTTCGATTTTTTCTTATGCCTTTTGATGACGAGAATGTAAGAAAGGAAATTAAACTGTAGGATACATATCTACTTTTAGTTTCACAATAAATTTTCCAGGGGTACATGTTCTGATTAGACTGTAAAAAGAACATCCCTTCAAAAGATCTCAACCATCTGTATTGCACAGATATGCTAATTGAATGGAAAAAAAAGGAGACAAGGCAGTGGATCACACAACAATTTAGTTTCCCAAACCACGACTATAGAGTATCAGGAATGTCTGCATAGAAGGGGAACATCTCTCTATCCAATTCGGTAGCAAAGTAATGGCGACTAACAAAACTGAAAAGAAGTACACGATAGCACATATAAAAGAAGTCTCTGTTCATACCATCGAAATAGGGTCTTCGGTATGTACCAAGGACGCTTGAGGAAGGTCACCTGTTGAGGCCATACCCTTTCCTTTCTCTGGTGTGGCGACACATCGTAATCCCGTTGGGTGCGGTTCATCTGATGGATTACAAGGTACTTTAATTGGGTTGTGAATACTTAACTTCCCTAACATGACTAGCTTTATTTAGAAAGAAAAGAGAGGCAGGAAGTTTAACCAGCAAAACAAGCTGTAAAGTCAGGAATATCTTAGCATAATTAAAAAAAAGTAAAGATTGCATTAAAAGGCTCAACAACATAAGTACACTCAAAATGAGACCCTGTCACTGCTACATCCTAAGGAAAGTATGAACATCAATCCATCAGCTTAACTCAATATAACGTTAAAAAAACATAAAAATGATGAAACCAACAGAATATTCTAAGTGAGAATACCATTTCAAGCTGTTACGTGTCAACATGGAGCCATTTTTGTAGCTTTTTCATGTCTCCAAATTGCTATTTTTTTCATCTGTAGTTTTAATCACAGGTTATAAAAACTTAGGGGGCCCAATGTCTACAATATCTTAAGAAACCATAAGGTGATTACTCATCCAGAGTGAGCACAGATTTTCATTCCTGAGATCAGAATATTTGATTATAGTTGCACAATGTGATACTAAATGGTAATATCTTACCCAAAATATCTGAGGTATTCTCATACTGTTGTATTGATGGATTTGATGTACTATTCTGTTGATCCAAAATTATCTTCATCTCACTTTCTATCTGTCTCTTTCCACCCATTGTCAACTCCAGAGTCTTAGCAACATCCAAGTCACGGATAGTATCCTTATAATTTCCCATAGAAGCATTTGCCTTACCTCTTCTGTACCATGCCTACATTGGAAAAAGGAAGAAAAGTAAGTTTGAAGAAAACTGTAACTCTCTTAGTCTCCTTTATCCTCCAGTAAAAAAAAGGCATCTCTAACTCATTAAAATACAACTTAACGCTAGGCAATAAAAGCATCTCACCTTTGCATAGTTTGAAGAAATCTGAAGTGCCCGATTGCAGTCTCGTAAACACTCCCTTAGAAGACCCATTTTCTAAGGATTACATATAACAGATACAGTAACAGTGAACAGTGAAATCTGTTGATAAAGAATTGAACTTGTTACGTTTGGTATATACCCACATAAATCAAGAATGGGACTTACATGCAATACAGAAGCCCGATTCACATACAAAGTAGCAACCAAGTTTCTGTCTTCATGTGCATCCATAGGAGCAACTATCAATGCCTGTGCCTCATGCCAATGATAATAAACAAACAAGTAAACAAATAAGGGGTTTCAGAGCAGAGGTGTTACCAATCTAAGCCAATGAGTAATTAGTTCTAGCAATGGCTTCAAAATAGAGAAGTAATTTCAAAGATGGAGGTACCTGAGTATAGAAATCCAAAGCATTAGCATAATCACCACTCAAGAAGCACTTATTCCCCTTTTGCTTCGACTCCAAAGCAGCTTCTTTGTTCTTGCCACACAGAGCCACTTCAGGGTCCGCCAAGTCCCTCACCATCTAATCAAATACGACAAATTTTTATCATTCATTCATTTCATTTCTTCTGTTATTGTTCGTTTCTCGCTGCTCATAAATTAGAATGTACAAAAATAATGACATACTTGGTGAAAGGGCTCGAAATGAAGAAGAAAATCGACGAGAGAAGAACATGTGCGAGGAAGATCGTCAGCAGAGCTCTCTCCGATCAATCGCTTTAGGGTTTCCGGAACCAGAGATTTCAGCTTCTCCATGAGCGCGCTTTTGAGCTACGCCTTGGGCTTGGAACTTCGTACAACGGCTATATGCTTTGCTACCCGCTCTGCTACTCTGTTTTATGCGCGGCGGTGAGAGTTCGTTTCTTTTTCCTTTTTCTTTCTTTTTGGGTTAAGGAAGGCTGTGAGTGTTAAAATGTTTTTATCTTTTTCAAGAATTTTCTAAAACTTGTCCGAGGTTCAATAGAATTTACCCCACCAATGCGTTTTTGACAAGTTATTTCTTCTTGTGTGATAAATTGATTTATAAAACTTGTCCGAGGTTCAATAGAATTTACCCATGTTCAAAATTCATTTCCCACCAGTGCGTTTTTGACCCATGTCCGAGGTTATTTCTTCTTGTGTGAAAATGTTTGCTTTTTGGAACTTCTTCTGTTGGATGATGTTATACGAATCTACCAATACTACAAATATATCTCAAAATAAAATTTCGTATCACTTCAAATTCCCATCATAAGAATGGTATTCGTTTCTTTTTTTGGGTCGACGTGTGATTGTACTTTTGATAAAATAAACAGATTATCCATCCATCAGTACAAACTGTAGAGGAAAAGAATAATGTTCCTTCTAACATTTTTACAAAAACTTGAGCCTCTGTGGTAATTAGATGCTGGCAAAATCCACACTACAGAATGCTCTTTTTGGGGATTGATCTTGATGAAGGCAACAAACAAACACAATGCTTCATCTAAGCCCAAACTCTTTTTCTGGGCACAAGACCTGATGTTTTTATGTCATCTATTTTGGCAGCTACAATGAAATCATTCATGCTCAATCCTCCTGAAATGAAGTTTCAAGTTAGCAATGTGCAAATGGTATGGCAAGTAGCCCAATGAAAAGTTTCTACAAGTTTGCAAGAAGTTTA